AATAGAGAAATTCCTGTGTCTTCCCTCACGTTCTCTGCGGGAAAAGATCGCATGAAGAGTACTGGTGCCTTAAATGGACGAGTCATTCCCTGATGCCACTGAAATAGCGGCTACATAGGTGTCATCTCATAACATTTGTGAGAAGCTTTTTGTTGGAATAACTGGGGTAGATGTTGACAAATGATGGCTGCCGATGTGGGGCCTACGTAGGCAACCCACTGCGATGTGAGCCCACGCTCCCCTACCCGCAGCCGACGTCGATCCAACGTTGTGTGCTGCCTGGATTCCAAGGCCTTGCCAAGGTCTTGCCAAGGTCTCCCAACTTCTTTTTTATTCCCTTCGCTCGGAAACCGTTCCTGATGGACTGCATCGATTCGGTTTTGCATCAACTCCGTCCAGCTTAGATTTTTTTCTTATTTGGGGCGTAATTTCTGCAGTATTTCCTATGAATTCAAGATTTTGAGACATCCGATTCAGAGATTTAAATGAATATTCCACATAGAGAAAATACAAGAAAGTGCATCATAAATTCCCTTACCAAATATCGTATTTGAGAGAGTGGTTAGCGTTCACCCACCCTCTTTCCTGATGAAACAGGCGGGGAAAAAAAATCCACCAGTTTGCTGTGCCGACTTTCCAGCCCTGTTGCCCGGGGATGGTCGCGGAATTTCAGCAACAGTTATGGGAGTTGTGCTTGCGATTTTCTGCAGCCTTGCTGTCCCGATCGAGCATGCCCGCTTCAGACTCGGATTCCTCAAATTCCATCCGCTCATTCTCCTGTGGATTTTCTGGATTTCTCCTCGGCTCTGGATGGACCCCGATGTCCCGAAAACCGACAACGAATTCGCCTGTAATCGCGTACGAGGGCCAGACCGGCCCGCGATCTCGTCCCTGCCGTAAGCAGACCTCGATCGATCGCAATGATCCTTGGAATTTAATGGAAGCACCGAGAAAGAGCGTCTGTCGGTCCATCCATCCACCCATCGGCATTCTCCAATCCTCCAATCGGTCCCTCTGCAGGCCCCTCTCGGCATGTATAACGCTGGAGTGAACCTGGTAGACAAACTAGACCTCCTTCCAATTCGCCCTATACCCGACCTTAGTCGTCCGGATCTGCACGAACGACTTTGGCTCTTTCTCTTACTCCTCTCACACTCATCGAGGCGTGACTCGCGCTCGTGTGACCCTGGGACGTGGCAGTGCGGTCACGAAGCAGGTCGATTCATCGGTCTCTCGAGGAATTCTCCTCCGCTCTGCGTCGCTTCGGAAATATGAAACTCGACATCGGGCGCAAGTTGCTCCGGAACGTTTGAGGAATGTTCAACGCATGTTGAACGAACCTACAACTAACGTAACGAACGATGATGGAAACGTTCCATAGACAGTTCAAATGTCCGAAATATAGAGTCCAAGAACGTTCAAATTATTCCTTCCCAGAAAGTTCATCAAGGGCGTGAATTGAATGTTTCCAAGGAGCATCAAAGTTCGAAGAACTTCTTTTTGAATCCAGCCAATAATAAATTAACAATAGGAAAATGATTTCTTCATCATTTCAATTATCTCAAGTCCAAGAACAGCCTCGCTCCCGTGCCAGGACCCATCATGCGGCCGAGTCTTTCTAAGCCTGATTGGGAGTACTAATTTCCTTTGTGGAGGAAGTTAGAATTTCTAATCATTCTTTCTCATCTCCTCGTGAGATTCCAACCTTCCTTCACCGGAGCGGAACTCTTTCTGAATTTCCTATCAGCTCGGCAGTTTCTTCCTGCTCCGGAGTTACGTCGGAACAGAACTTTTGTGTGAAATCCTTCTTCATATCCGGAGCTATCACCTCTTGAAGCGTCGGATACGTCCCGAGCAAGTTAACCCTATGATGCTATACGATATAAGGTGCTTCTTTAGCTGCCATCCCATGGAATTACTTTCATGTTGAGCCATCCTCCAAGCCAGAGTTTCCTAGAGACTCGTTGGGCTGGGTTTCCTCTTTAGACGTATGTGTCGAAGGATTCAATGTCTTTCCGTGCGATGTCTGTGGGGAAAGACTGGTTAACGTGTGAAAAGTAATTGGGGCTGGTTCCAGTTGTATCAGGTATCGCACTCGCTATTGCGACGATTTTGGCGTCATCTCGCTTCGGTTATGCGAACCTTACTTGTTCCACTGCTGGATGGCGGGTCCGCTGGCGCGATGCCGGACCAAATAGCGCAGGTTCATCAAAGAAAACGTTCTCATTAACGTTCAATTAATGTACTTCAGATATGCCATGGAGAATAGGATGTAAGAGATGGAAAGGCACCTTAATTGAGTGCCCAAAGGCTACTCACCCGTGAACATTGAACGTTCCAAAACCTATTTCAATGCGTTGAACGTTACAGAAGTAGGACATGTTTGTTACCTGCTAAGCACACGAGTCCAGGGGAAAACATTCAAGGAGGCGATAGGAGGAAAGTAGGATTGATAGGATTGATAAGAGGATGACGTTCTCTGAGACGATTCTGCTTCCCTCCTTCTAATCAGCATCCATCCCGTCTTCCATGCAAATTCTCAGACATCTCATTCGCGTTTCCATGTTTATTCCGGCGAGTTCAGCCGGGTGGAACGGTGATGCCGAAGGAGCAAGGGCTGGACCCCTTCACGCATCCATAAATCATCTTGAACCATTGACAGGACCTCAAGGGCATTTGCGCAACGAATCGTGACACGAAACGACCAAGGAGAAAATTCCAATCCCCATCGACGACCCCAGGCACGATTTAATTATTCTTTTTTTGGTCCTGCTCCCTGATTCTGAACGTTCTGCTGATTCCTGATTCTGCTTACTCCACTTCTTAATTGCCCGGCTGGCAATATGACATACCGTCAATGTCAGAAGATTGGCTAAATTGCTCCTACGATGCGCATTGGCACATTAACGGGATGTGAAAATCCGCCCAAATCCCCATCTTCGTCATTGCAGCATCGAAGTGCTCCATCTCGATCTCACAATTTATCATTTCACCGACATTTTTGCTGGAACCAACTTTGTTCGGATGTACATGCAGTACTTCTCGCGAATTATTTGCCCTTCGGCCAGTATCATCGGCTAGCCTCGGTTTTCGAGGTTTAATGAAGCAGACTCAATATTTGCCCCTCTCCTATATTTATCTTTCGTATAAATGAAATACAGTGAAACGAACGATGAGTTTCACTCCAGATCCACTAATAATGGCGACAAAAATCATTCACTGCTCATAGATGATTCGAAATATGGAGATAAAAAAGATGAGAGGTGGAAAACCATGTGCATGGTGACATTCCAAAGAGGGTACCCAGAGGGTGCACATCTGGGTGCACACCGCAATAGTTGCCCCCCTTACTTGACGAAGAAAAACGTTTCCTGATCCATTCTATCCAGAGAAACCTGTTCTTTTCAGGTGAATGACCAGTCGCTCCTCATAATAAATGGCTTAAAATGGCAATCATAAATGATCTCGGAAAGTTCGAAACAACTAACTGAGCAAAATAATTTGATGCAAACGCTAATAATTCCGAGAAAGACGTCACTAGAGTACATCTTTATTGTCGTTTTCACACAACCCCCACGAGAGTAACATGAGAATAATATTATGAGGCACTCTCCGCAGAATCTAGACCCTCATAAAGACCTCACGCGGTTCCTTTCCTACGATCCTGTTTTTCTCTCTCGAAGCCATTCGTCGGCGCGTCATGCACAGCAGCGGTTCTCAGCCTGCGTGCCCGCGAGAGGATGACATGGAGAGCCGCGAGAGGATGACATGGCTTGAGCGAGTCCTGAGAGCTCCTCCTTTCAGCCGAAGGAGGGAGGGCATGGAGGCCGCGAGGCTCCTCAAGTGGTCTCATCGAGAAGTACTTTTTGAGTGGACAGGGCTCTCCTCAAAAACCGCTTTTGTATTATACCTCTGCCTCCGGCCTGCGCTCTTAACAAAGTTTTGTACCAGGGAGTACACGATACGAGTCTGTTAGGATCAATTCACTCATATTGCTCTTTCCTGGAATACAATTTCATTAAGAGTGTCTATCTAGGAAGAATACCAAGACCAATATTGCAGCAGCAATGAAGATCCTGATTATTTTTGCCATCTCACACGGGTCTACCTTCTCTTATTCTATATGTAAAAAAAAAAACTGAGTCTAGATTCCGTTTGAGTACTGTAAATGACCTGAGTGGGTTCGCTTCAAATATTGAGTTGTATAGATGTACCTTGTTTTCCTGTGCAACCGGAGGCAGGCATTGAATCGGAATCAACAAAAATCGAATAATTTGAATGAATCATTTTGAAATTATAGTCATGCTTAGTGACAGTTGAAAGAACTAAAATTAATGAATTGAGAGGCCCTGCTGCCTGATACTGTCGCTGCTAAGAAAAAGTTGAGAACCGCTGCGTACAAGACACAAATGTCTTGGATTACAAAAGGAATCACGTTTGTTCTTTCTGACAACCGATCCTCGAAATTGCACATAAGCAACGCATCTATATGGAGTCATTAACCCACTGAGGGCCCTGCTCATCGGCGACTCCACAAGCCGATGCGGTGTCGCGTGGGACAGTCACAAGGAAAGCCTTTTACGATTCGCGACCGAGCCTCATCAGCGTCTCTTCTCGACCGACGGTCGGGCGGTGCCAAGAGTCGGGCAAAAAGGTGATGAATCACTGTCGGGAGATCGTCCGGGGCATAAAAGTTCCAGCTCGACCGAGTTTCTGCGTGCGCTTCGACACGAGAAGGAACGAGGACCTGCTCATTATGCATATTAGATGCAACTCCGCCACCCTGGCAGCAACGAATGCTAAACCTGGTGCAGCAGCACTCCTCGGTACACCGAAGGGTGACATCGTTCAATGCTTTGTCTCTTGGATTCATTGGCAATTCGTACTTTACCTATAGAGTGCTGGTTGGGGTTTTGCCAATTTCACGTTTTTCTGATTTCTACGTCTCCGTCATTTGATAGTGCAAAAAAAGTCCGTTAATGTGCTTATCTTCTCTTAACCTTCCCCCCCCCCCCCCCACACACACACACACACACCTGCACCCTCTGGGCACCCACTTGTTTACCTGTAAAAATCTATTAGGGTATATGCCATCCATGGAATCTTCTTTTTTCATCATCATAGGCAATGAGGAAGTTGGAAAACGAGCTATTAGACAAGCACGAGGTTTCCCATTTCCTCTCGAAACCAACGTCAGAGAGACTAACATAACGAAAGAAGCAACGTTCACGAGGGAAGTCAGAGATCGAACGGAGTTATCACAAGGGAGGCACTCAACGACTGAGGGTCCAGTGGAGGTCACCGAGCTGGCACGTGCATCCCGTCCCGTTCCCACGACCACCCAGGATGGTCGGGACCGGACTCTACGACTGGAGGACGACCAGAGACCAATGGAGGTCGCCGGGCTGGCACTTGCATTCCGTCCCCGGGGTGGTGGGCACCGGCCTCCACTTCCCTTCGCATCCAGACGCGTCCCATTCCTCGTCCAATTTCCACTTCCGTCCCACCTCCTCCGGCATGCCCTTCGACTGACTCCATACGCACCACGTCTCCCCTGTCAGGAGCAAGCAATTTTTTATTTAAGATTTAAAGATTTAAAGGTCCGAGAAGGGAAACGGCAGAGCACGCAAAATCGCAAGAGAAAATCGCGACAGAAAATTGATTTCTATCACTCAATATTCGAAGTGGATCATTGTTATCGATAACTATAACGTTACATTGGATAAGTATAATCGTTTAGCTTTCCGCAGTCAGAATAATTTGTTTAGTCAAAAAGGCCTCCGAACGATCTCGTAAAAAGTGGTTTGGGTAAATACATCCAACAAGCGCCATACTTCACAGCTATCCTCGAAATTGAAATCGATCCACTTCGAGTGTCGAGTGGTGTCTGCTGGAGAGATGCAATCGCCTGCGATATGTTACGAGGAACTGGATGGAGAGGGGAAAATCTATAAATACAAAACCACTAGCAGCAAATCATAAAAATTCTATCGACACAGAAAGTCATAAAAATCCCGAAGAGAGAAAAAAAGGAGGACGGAATGCACTATGCGACTGGATTCGGGCCAACCGGGCCCGATCGCTCTGAGGATTGCACTGCGAAAAATAGCTGAAAATCGTGGAAGAGTTCGTGACCTGTGAAGATGGGAAGAAGGGAGGACGAGAGGAGCTGAAGGCAGGCACGAGACGCCCGGGTCACCTCGAGTCTCTCGCACACCCATCTGCACAATGGATGCATTAGATTCGGCACGGAAGAATGGAGAGGGAAAGGGGGGGGGAGGGGGAAAGATACTTAACGACGAAGATCATTTATATGCGTTTCACAGCTGTGAGACTTCGAATGGATGAGGGAAGAAAAAAGAGGGAGAAAAATGATATGGTGACACTTTCAAGGGGGGAACTGGAAGAGGGAAAAAAAGAACCCCGAGGCAAAGGGAAAGTTTCCGCCATGAATTATGCAGAAACTTTCTGAATGCCAAAAGGTCATGCCAGTTTCCATTTCCAGGATCCAGGCTGTTAAAGCGAAAGAGCTGAATTTCAAATTAATCTCCGTCATGAAAAATATTTAAAAGACGCGATTGAAAAATGAGTAAATAGTTATAACATAACTATTATATATATATATAAACGATGCATGAAGAATAAAGATCCTGACCCGTCTCCGAAGTCCAGCGAGGAATTCCTTCTCCGCACCACCGACACTGCGACAAGAAAATGGGAGATAAGCACGACCTTTCGAGATCGAAGGCGGGGACGATGAAGGCGGGGACGATGAAGGCGGGGACGATGAAGGCGGGGACGATGAAGGCGGGGACGATGAAGGCGGGAACGATGAGAATACTCGAGGAATACTTGCCACAATCTACGAGCGAGATAGTGAGCCTCTCTATTGTCTTTCATTTCCCCCTCCCCCCGTATTGCTTGGATTCCCCCCGCAATTGCCTCTCGAGTCCCCCAGGAAAGCCATATCTCTGAATGGTCCGTCGGCTTTCTCATCGCCGATCCGGTGATCCAAAATAAATCTATCCGTTTCCTTCATTCGCTCGGAAATAGGTTTTTTTTTTTAGCAACCGTTTCGAAATGAATTCATGAGTTTGTGTGCTTCATGGATTTTTAAAGTTTTGGTGCTCGAACCTAAAAAAGAGTAGCCTTGAAGGTTTCTTGCCTTCATGGATAGAAAAAAAAAGCAGTAAGTGGATATACTCCTACAAAAATATCTACCTTTCACCCTTTTAGTGCCAGAGTCGATTAGATCGACGCTAGATGGGTTCAAGTGAGAGGATAAACACGATGAAGCGCTCCCGCGAAATACATTTTTTATTCCTTTTGCTGCCAGCTCTTCTCCCATTACGACATCCCGTGACACGGGACGTCATAATGTGAGAAGATGAGAAGGTGCCTCTCGACGTCTCGACCTTGATCCTTGGGTTCATCAAAATTTTCGAAGGAGAGAAAGAATTATGAAAGTAGTCAAGAGAATTGGGAGAGGGGGTGGGGAGGGGAAAGAAAACAAACAAAAACGATCAAGAGAATTTTAACAAATAACCGCGAGAATAATTAAAAAACCAACTAAATTGAGGATCTCGGTGATCTCAGGTCACCCATTGACCTGAGTTCTCCGAGAAAACAAAACAAAACCACTCAAAGAAACTCCAATTTCGTGTTCAAAACTTCTAAATATCGCTTTCATTCATGGTTATCGTTTTTCACAGATGATTTTCATTCACTTCCCTCATTCCCACGAAAAAGAGTGTTTTATTGAGTCCACTGCACTCCTTGCACCGATGCGAACACCATGGTGCAAAGAGATCCTGCACGAAAACGGCACGTGCTCTTGACATTCCACGATTCGAGTGGTCACGTGGTCACATGGTCACGTGATCAGGCATTCACCAATGCGGGCGATGGCATGGCCGTGAGTCAGGAAAAAAAACAAACCTATTTTTAATCAACTTCTCCCAGTCTGAGAAAGTTATAATGTTATGCATGGGGTACGTACTAACACGATGGATCTACATAATTGTCTCGTGATGACACGCACTTTCTCGAACCCGACCCTCTATTGGAATCTACAAATGTCACATACGCAGCTATTTATCACGCGGTGAACCGGGCACAAATAGCACCTTCGTCGGATAGTCCCGGGCAGACGGGAACAATTCTCAAGTGCTTCAAACGCGGCAAGGAACAAGGGCTTGCTGTGCTGCGAACTGATGACTAACTTCGGATCGAGCGAACCAGAACCGAATCCGAACTCTTTCCAGTGGGCTCCTTGCTCCCTGGATATCGTGAAATCGTGAAGAAAAAAAAACAGTGGAGCATGGTGTCGATGCAACAGACGAGGATGCCTGAACTACAAGAGAGAATACGAGATAAAAATCACCTCAGAGGGCAACCGAAGGTTCGAACCCGAAGCGAATACCCAAAGCGGGGCGAACTCGCTCAAACTCCAACTCAGTTGCCACGAGTTTCGTCCCACTCCAGGACTCGATCCCCGCCGTCTCATCCCAGACGTCTCCCGCTTGGTGGTAGAGACCGGGAGAGGAGGGACGGGAGGGAGAAGGGAGTCTGCATCCCCGCCTCCGGTCATTCGCCGCTTGCCCACGCCGCGACGGGACGAGGTTGAGTTATGGGAAGTCATCCCACCCCGCTATGACGAGTCTACGTGCAATCACTGCCACGGTCCCTGCGATGAATCCGATCACACCAGTGATGATTGGCGAAGAGGTACGAGGCGTAGTTGTGGGTTCCTCGTTCGGGACAGGACGAGACAGGTTTCAAGAATCCCCCTTTCGCTCCACGTTCCTTCTTCTCTTACACCGTGGAAGTAGACTCGGGATGCTCGTATGAATTTCAGCAGTCTAATATTTAATACCCGTTGCGTGTCACGAGGAAGTGTGTCGTTCGGAAGACACGCAGATCCCGTGTCGAGAGATTCCGCAGCCTCACGAAACCAGACCGTCCGTTCGAAGAAGACATCGGCGATCTCGACTGACGGCACCCGTCGGGCTCGTCGAATTCCCCGACTGCTCTCGGAGAGAAGTCACGAGAAAAGTCACGGTTTCCGTTGCATCTAAGCCGAGGTGGGCACGACTTTTCCTGCCGTGTTCCAAGCGAGGCATTTCATCCACAATTTCTTCCGGGATAAATGCTTTCTAGGGTTTCGTCGTAATTCAACTTTCCATACTTCATGGGTGGACGCGAAACTCTTACTGTAACGCGGGCTCAATATATTTTTCTCAATTTTCTCTAAAGATAATTCAATCTTTTGGTGAGTCGCTCGCCTTGGGAAGGTGCTTCCCCCGTCTGATTGCATCAAGGACGGGGGAAACATAGGAACTCGATCGATACGAATTCATTTTTCCGTTAGGAGCGACTGTGTTTCACGGGGAGATTGCGGTGACTTTATCGGCGGAAGCCTTTCGAGGAAAAACCCAGCCGGGAATGGAAATGCAGACGAATGGAGTCTTCCGTCTGCGATTCCGCGATCCATCGCGGGGGCTTTTCGCAAGGGAGAGTTTAGCGCTGATGTCCCATAGAATAGAAATGGACCGCCGTTGAATCGGGGGAGAGAGATAGGCTTGAAATGGGGAAGGCTGATTATGCAAACAGCCTCATGGATCCTCTCTTCCGTTCTGCGATGAGGACGAGGAGACTTCCCTTATCTTCCTTTCCTCTGCCTCTTTTTCGTGTTCCCTTTGAACACGGAGAGGCTCTGCTTTCAACAGGCGTAGGCTCCACTTCTCGCTCTCGTCTTCTCTTAACTCTTTCCTATCATTCCTCTCTAATGTTAAGCTGCTATCGTGCTACTCAATTCCACCTATCACCTGTGACCTATTGTGGCTTCATCTTCCATGACTCCGTGATACTGCCAGCTTTTCTTCGCACTTTTAATTTTCCGATGCCTGGAGCTTCTTAACTCAAAAAGCTGTGTGCAACTATGCAGGAAATAAGTGCAAAATTCGTATGGTGCAGAGAAGAAAAAAAAAGCGGTAATCACGTAAGGAACGAATTTGAAAGGTGCAACGCATCGATGATATTGGTCTACATTTCTGTGATCGTGCAACTGAAAAAGCGGTTGTGACTAGTGTATAATCACAATGTACGATTACGAAGAGACATTTGAATCAGAACCACGGTATTAACAAGTATAATGTGAAATTATGAAGTGCGGTCGATGGAAAATTTACATTACAAATTTGATAGACACTGAAGTATAAATGGAAATTTGCAGAGCTTAATAATGAAATGAGAAAGAAAACAATTAAACAATCAAAAGAGTTTGAAAGCAAAAAAAAGTAAAAGCGATGCCTCCTTCGAACCCGTATTGTGGACAAGTTTCCCTTCTCTTCCGGGAGAGAACCCTTGGAACAAGATCTTTATGTCGCGTGCGAGAAACTTGGCACCATGCAAAAGAGAAGGGATATCTTCGAGAGCGGGGCTCATTGACACGAGAGACTCCCTTTTATGACACCCATGAGATTGAATGACCGTCGCCCCTATTGTGTCTTCCCCTCTTCTCCCCTTGGGAAGGACACAATAGGGAGAGGCCTTTCCCTGGCTCCTCTCTAACATTCATTCATCCGGGCGCACTCACCCCTGCGACAAGGGGAGGAAGGAGAGGGGCAGGGTCTCTGCTGGTGGAGCTCGGGGCAGGCTGCCCCGTCTCGCTCCGCTTCGCGGAGGACGTCTCGGGTCCGGTATGAGTCCCGCTGGCCTCCGCATGCCGTGCACGGCGACCATTCGCTCCAGTCTCCCACTTCGCAGTCCCGAGCTAGGAATACACACGACAATCTCGCAAATCATTCGCTATCATGCGTTCTTCATCGACTTTGATCGGGTTACGAAGACTTCGGATCACGCAACCCAGGTAGCACACAGCGTTGAATCAACATCGAGTGGATGTTGATTCAACGTCCGGATGTAGATTCAATGTCAATGTGCTACTCGGGAGGTCTTGTTTGAAGATCCCAGAAACACACAAACGTCAAGCTTTACTGCGATTTCCAACCGCATGCATTCCCCTATTGAGTAAACTGCTAATTTCGTTTAGCGAAAAGCTCACTACAAGGTCGAGACATGGGAAAGTTCCAGAACCAATCCTACCGCCATGTCTTCGCATAGATTCTTTTTTTTTATTATCGAGTGCTGGTATCCCCCGGGTTTCGTTGGAGGTAAATGAGACTTGAGGACAGCATACTGGCACAGAGCCATCGGAGAGAAATTGAGACTTTGCCAAATCGCATGACCAAAGTCGATGTCCATCCGAACATCGGCGTTCCTCTTCATTTCTTGCCTTTCTGATTTACACTAGAAATTTCCATAAAGTCCTGGTGAAAATGGGACAGAGTTTGTTGCTTGGAACTTTTTTTTGTGGAAATTTGTAGAACTCATTAACATCATTTTTTTNTGCAGACACCCGCACGAACCAGCCGAGCCGATTAAAGCGCGAAATTTGCATATCAGTCGAATTAATCTGAATGGATCTGAAATCCCTGCGGATCTCCCGCGTCTCATTTGCTTTCCTCCGGAGTAAACAAAACTCGGAATTCCCCACTTTCCTCTCCCTTTCTTCCCTCTCGGAACATCTGGAAAAACATTTCATATCCCCTTTCATTTCAAATCGGAATGCTGGATATTAAATCTGTCACGATATGACACGAGCAGGCTGTCGCAAGTCTTCCTTTTATGGGGCAAGTCTTCCCATCGCGGAGGGAAAGTTTTCCAGGGTGCGTTTGCTTACATCCGTCTTTCAATTAGGTCTCTCCTGGCAACCAATTTCTCGGAGATGATTGAAGTGGAATGATAATCGATTACTCCCCATCCACTTCTCTCAAGCTCATTAGTGGATTAATTAGACCGGATCGGGCGGGTGCAGGATGAAATGCATCTCTCTCATCTCGTAATTCCCCCCGTGCGTATTTACATTCGAGGCTAATCAGAGCGTTTATACTGAATAGTTTCATGAATTCGTACGAGAGCCTAATAAATATTACCGCATTCGAGTGTAAAATGTATTTCATATTAGAGCATACAATTTTATGACAACATGCTTACAATCTCCGGAGTTCTAATAGATCGACATTTCTTGTCCCGAATTCATCATCAACCTGTAGGAGTCCCAGAAATGATACGATATCACAGAAAAAAGACCCCACCGACTTTCCTTTCTTGCTAATGGGAATCCCCGAAGGGGAAGAAGCCCGTTCCAGATGTGCACTCTTGTGACATGAACCCAAAACGAGATCGACAGGACCTCGTTCCCCTCCGAAGATCCCATCTACAAGGCAGAAGGAAGATAAATCCCGCGGATGATGCGAGGGGCAACCGATGGGGAACCCATGGGACGGGGGAATGAGTCCATTCCCACGTGGTTTCCTCGTGGCTCCTCCAGTCCCAAGTCGGTTTCCACTGTTCCCCTCACTCATCCAAAACCGCGTTTCGCCCAATGACGGCATCGTGATGGCGTCATCTTGGACCGGTAATCTTCGTTGATTTGTCCCCTATGGCTTGTTTACCACCCTCGGATGCCTTCAAGCCGATGCATGGAGGTTTCAATAGTCGAATTAATTTTCGCGGATTTTACTTTGAAATTGTCTGATCTCATTTGTTCGCAAACAGAAATTTCAATAATCGATTACAGAAATTTCCGCGAGGCAGCACTCGAAGGCATCGCAACGTGGGTGTCGGTCGTGATGGTAGCGTGCCTCCGATCACGCTTGCCTCAATCATCGTCCTATTTCATGTCTCCTATGAATAAGGACCCCCGCTGAATATTTATGGAGGAGAAACCTGCCGCATCGGCTCATCGAGGGTGCCTATCGGCAAAAAGGACGTTCATAGAATATTGAAATCGCCTCGGGGGGATCCTTCCATCGAGCTTGACGAGGAAAAGAAAATAAAGCTCTCGGGAGTGCAATGAAGGCGAAGAAGAAAACCTCGTTAGGGAGGGAGAGAAGAAAAGGAAATTTTCTTCCCTCTTGATTGGATGAGCTGGGGAAGGGATTAGCCGCTCATTAACGGGAATGGTGAAGATTCGTTTATTTCATGACCTCCCTCTTCGTCTTCCCTGGAATGACCTCATTCCAGGAAGTACATTTCATCAGGGCTGCCAATATTGCGGCCTTGATGCGCCTCACCCCTACTGTATCCACACGAAAGAAGTCTTTGATGAGATGAAACCCTGTAATCCCGGGATGAGCATAGTCGCATTACAGCGTGCATGTTAAAGGCACTTTCTGCCTTGGGATGGATTTCCTCCCCTCCCTCCTCCTCCTTCTCCTTCTTCCCCCCTCCTGACGAAATCACAGACCGTGGAATTTTAGACGAAGGAAAACCCTCTGACATCTTTTTCGCGCTTATTATTTTCCCTGCCGTTATTTCCGGATGTCTTCTCTATGCACAAAAAGGAAAACATTTTGCATAATAAGGACAATTTTTTCAAGTGGTCGAGGAAACCCAAGCGTCTATTAACATCATTTTAAATCGAAGAGGAGCTGTTTCCAATTACTTTTGTGAGTTCGTGTTCGCGAGGGTTTACGAGTCAATGCTATTAAACGAATCCGCTCCTTTGTGGGATCGTTGAGCTTACGAATGCAAATGGAGTTGGGAGAAGTGGTTCTACAAATAGCTCCGGAGTAAACATCTACGCGGAGTTTATTAATTAAATGAGAAACAGGAATTCCTAATGGCCCGTGGAAAAGTAAAGTTTCGAGATAATAGGAAAAGGCTAGAGACGAAAGATCTGGCGAATACCGGAGGCATGGGGGAAAGGGTCCGCTAATGACGTCTTTCGGTGAGCGGCTTTCACGTTGTCTCGAAAGGCGAATTTCGCCGACTTGATGGAGTTGGAATGATGGATGCATCAGGTCGCACATCGCGCTGACGCAAATGGGATAGCTGTGAGGTGTTGGTGGACCCGTTCGTGGGGAACCCGGAACGGGTTACATCCTCCGGTACGTTCACGCCGACGCGAGGCGCAACCTGATGCTCCCCTAAGACCTGCAAACATCGTCCTAACCACCCAAGTGGCTTTTTTCCCCGAACTGATCGACTTCGAGGCGGCTATAGACGCGCATACCACTAGGGGGTTAACTGGTCGACCTTGATCAAGCGATCGATCGGGTTGGGGAAATAGCCTTCGGAGGAGTGGAATCGTCACGGCCACAAAGTTAAACATTGGACAAAGGCACAGTGGCGGGATGGCTAGCGGTAGGAAAAAAAAAAGGAACTGGCGTCATCGTTTTTATGTGAATCCCCTCATCCTATCACCTTGAAACTTGACAAGATGTTTCCACGTGACATGTTTATCGTTGATCACGTCCTTGCGAGCGTTTATTTGGAAGAATGAGATTTCTCTGCGAATTCTACTCCCTCGCAACTCAAATAATTCATGGCCCTGCTATGTGTGCCAAATTTAATTATAATCACTCAACTTCTTGGCATTGATTCTTTTTTGGCGATGAGCATACATCGGAAATGATCCAGTCAAAAATTTTCATTGATTTATGGTCAGTCCATATAAGGCGAGTGAGTAGGTCAGCCAAGTCACATTTGTGCCGTTATTGCCTTTTGTCCCTTAGCCAGGAAACACATAGCAACAGCGGCATAAGTACACTCGGTCAAACATGGAAGCCCGAAGTTAAACGATATAGAGGCCTCAGACAAGTGACAACCACTCGCACAAAGGTTCCCAAAATCTCGGCACGAGATGGTGGTTAAACCGTCGCTGTAACGACTCACTCCCTGATCCCACTGAAATGAGCTTCCCGTACCTTCAGTACGGTTCCTGATCGTTTCACTCAGGTCTTCTGGGAAGACAATGGAATTCCTGGATGCATTTTTCTCCAGATGTAACCCAGCTCAGGGATACTCCAGACAATTCTAGCCTGGAGGCCGGTGGGAGAATGGTTTTTCTAGCCATTTGACTCCATTGAGTTCATTTTCTTTTGCCTCAAATCATCTCAGACAAGAAAAACCGTTATGATCGATATAAATCGAGTCTGACTTCCTGTGAGAAGACGGCACCAATTGCACAAAATGAAAAGGCTCTTAGGTACTTGAAGGTTTTCACTGTATCCGTCAATCATAGACGGAATCGGGATTAGATCCGCATTGAATAGAGCTTAAAATGGAGTCAAACCTAACAATAGATTACAGCTTCCCAGAATGGCTAAAGAAAAGATAGTCCTCGCTGAAAAGTGCCTGCATCTCGCCAACATGAGTAGAGTAGAGTGAGTGAAGAATCAATTGAAACAGTATCAGAAACGAGGTAGGGTTTTTCCTAAAGGTGAAAAATGTGCTAAACAATGGGTCCAAATTATCTCCACGAAATGAGTATGTAACTTCATCGTTTTGTAGATGATCATTCCGTGCTTCATGAAAAGTTGTCTTATTATTGGCTTATTTTCGGAGCACATGCAGGCATCCAACAGTGAGTTAATGTTGGCTGAATGAAGAGTCAACCGGGCATGCCCGGCTATATACCGGCTTTAGCCCTCTGGAACCCAACCATCTGCTAGTGATGGCCCAGCTATGGTTTATACACGAGTCAACTATAAGCCACAGATGGCCCGCTGAGAAATGTTTGACTAGGGAGGGACCTCTCAGCTTTAAAGATGGGAAACGTTCCAGATTTTTTCCATTCCCACACCGAGAAGAAAAGAAATCACCACAGTACATTCCGCTTCTTTCGAGGTAAATAGAAAGAAGCGTCCAGGTGTATCCAAGGATGAGATGGAGATGGAATCCATCGATCATTCGGGCTCGGCTGCACCTCCATCCCGAATTTCCCTCCTTTCCATTCCCATCGGGGGAAGGGGGGAGGAGAGCGATGGGGGGGGGGGGGGGGG